TTCAACTCGGGCGTTTCCCTTGGAAAGCCCGAGTAATAAAAAAAGCCAGAGAGAAGTCCCGGAAAAGGTCGGACAGAGTTCAATTTGGCAGATGGTGCGATAGCTTAGCTCCACCTTTTGTACTCTGATAGAGCACGCTCTTTACACCAATGACAGTACGCGTTACATCTGAACTTTATTACAAATTAATTTAACAACAAATAACTTCCGAGGGCGAAAATCTTACGTCAAAGAGCGGTCAAATCCATGGAGTTGAGCATCAAAGCTCAAACGGGAAGGTGATCAAATTTGCTGGTGTACCAGTTTTATCTGTCAGATTTTCCAAAAAAGGTGAGGGTACACTGCCACGGAGGAGGCTTGGAACCAAGGTGAACTTTTTCTCAACCAGGCATGATACGGTCAATTTTGCGTTCGTCTATCACTGAGTAAGTATGTATTTCATAAGGTGCATAATCACGTTTTGGAACACCACACCTTGAACGTTAAAAGTAAATACACTTCATAGTCTCCATGTATTTCATAACCGGGCCAAATATTCCATTACAGTGCATTAAAGTCAGCTGCTAAGGAAACACTAGTTAACTGTAATACTACCATGGCAAAATAAAATATCGTTATTCTCGATTTGCACAAAAACAAATTGAAGCTGTAATTACCAACGACGAACGACTGAATATGTTTCGTTCCTCAATCATTAAAAAACGCTCACATAATCACAAACCTGATTGCTCCGAACAAGTAGTTCTTTTATTTTTAAACACAGTATATACAGTTGTCTACATTAAAAAAACTTAGAGTACTTAATTATACGGTATATCTAAAATACTCCAACTTTATTTTACATAAATTCTCCTTTCAGCCGACTTACGATCATTTCAACATTCTCCCCCATCTATCTTTCCTCTACCAGATGCAATCAAATGCGTGTATAATATTTGCTAAACACATGTTTAAAAGGCTATCGATAAAAGGATGTAAATAAAGGATTTATTAATCACTGAATTCTTACAATTAGTAACCAACTAGAATTCATTGGTAACTAGCAAACTTATCTATACTTTCCACCTAGTGGCCGTATTTTTTTAAACTAACTGCCAGGTTTGGTATGAGCAATATCTATGAGATTTTATCATTCAAAACAAAACTTCTCTGCTAAGTCTCTTCGCTGTACTATGTTGTGGACTAATGCATTATACAAATTCTTATTCTCTGCAGCTTCCTCATTTTTTGTTTTCCATAGTCTCAGTATATGAAATCCCCTTTGAGACAAAGTCTTTTATCTTTCTTCAATTTCTTCTATGTCATCTTCCTTAATTCCAGGCACATGCTAGCCTAAGCTTTGCCAAGTGTTTGAAGGTCATCATCAGTTACTACTCCCTCTTGTATGTAAAGAGAAATAGAGAGTTAATTGTTTTAAGACTACCCACTTTGATAACTGTGTCTTAGTAAAAATTTTAAAATCATTCCTTCCAAGTGAAGGGGGGGAGGGAAGAAGAAAGGCTTTTTTTGTCGTTCCAGAGATTTTCCATTAGATATAATGGAAACAGGGTGGTCAAGTGGTTAGAAAACCGGATTTGTAGTCTGGTGGTCCTGGGAACAAGCCCTCCACCCTGCCACTCACTGGATTATTCTTAAATGGTTCCTTAAATTCCTTGGCTGTGCTTTGTATACAGCCAACTGCGGCCTGCCTCCTGTCAGTTGGGGTTTTTACAGCCTATGTTTATTTACAATGTTTGGGACCAGATTTTTCATATTGATCCTAAGATGAGCCTTGTTGAGGGAGACTTGTCAATTTTACAAGTATACAAAGGTATACCCACAGACACATACCTCATAATTATTATCAAATATAATAGGTTGAATAAAACTGATCACAGTTGATTTATGTTTTTACAGCTAATGAAAGGTATAATTTATTGTGAGTTAGTGATAATTTAACATCGAAAAAAATTTATTGGAAGAGAGATTGAAGGTTCTTCAAGTCTGCAAAACAATTTTACACGATCGATCCTGAAAATATACCATTGGATAGTAATGAACAGTGCACGTGGTAGTTACAAGTTTTTTCGAAAATCGTTTAACTGAAGATGTAACTTTCCTTTTGTCCTTATCCTTAAACTTCCTTGTCTTACTAGTGCTGGATATCCCAGAAGTTCCAGATTCTTTAATAGGATCAAGTTTAGGGTTTTTTGTAGCTGAGCCACTTTCTTCCTCTTGCTTAATTTCAGTGGAACAAGGAACTAGTATGTAAGTAAGAGAGATGAAAAGGTTAGGGTAAAAATGCGATATTTTATTTTTGTGCTCGCATTTCCTCTTGCTAACTCGTTTGTCTGAAGAACTAAAGTTTAAGAGATTTAGCCGGCAGAACAGGCATAATTTGTCGCGTTTTTCAGGCAAACGAAGAAAAGTGCTAGGCGAGTGCAAGTCATGCACAGGGTAGGAGCGCAAATAATAACTCCTCCCCTTGACCTCATGCTCACCTCACGCTTGCCTCTGTTCGAACAATTGAATTAATTGGAAGCTGTTCTGTTCCCGTTAAGTCATGCGGGGTGGAAAAGTGAAGTTTTACTGTGGCTCTGGCTGTTGTTGCTGATAGTATGAAACTGCCACCTAAAGTCGTTTTCAAAGGAGTTTAAACGCCGAGAGACCTGATTGTTCCCAGTTTACGAAGGTTTCGTTCCAGAAGAAAGGATGGATGGACAAGGAAGGTGTTAAAGAGTGGATCTGCCAATGTTTGCCATGTAGTCCTCCAAATGAAAAATTCCTCCTGGTATGGGATTTCTTCCGAGGCCATCTTATCGACCATGTGAAGAGTCTTCTTCGTCGCCGAAACGTTGATGTTACAGTAATACCAGGAGGGCTGACTCTAGTTCTTCAATAACCACTCGATCGTTGCCTGAACAAGCCGTTCAAAGAGAGTGTCGGACGAAAGTACGTGACTTTGCTTAACAGTGGCCATTTGAATACACGCCTGTCTCAGGCGGAAGAGAAGAAACCTCCAGTCTACAACATGCTTCTTCGTCGGATCAAGGAGATTTGGGTTGAAATTCCCAGGGAGATAGTTCAGAATTCTCTCAGAGTTTGTGGCCTTTCAAATGCGCTCAATGGAACAGAAGATGAAGCCCTTTGTGCTGAAGGGATGGACAGCATACTTGAAGCCCAATGCTATAAAGCAGATGACGATATTGAACTGCTTCTTTGGAGAAATTAGAATAGTGATTATTTGAGCGATTTTTAATCATTGAGGAACGAAACATATGCAGTCGTTCGTCGTTGGTAATCAAAGCCTCAATTTGTTTTTTACAAATCGAGAATGAATTAAGCTCAATTCTCTCAATTCCATGAATTTGGCTGCCTTTTGACTTAACATTTTCGCCCTCAGAACTTATTTTTCGTTAAATTTATTTATAATAATGTGCAGATAAAACGCGCGTTGTCATTGGTGTAAAGAGCGTGCTCTATCAGAGTACAAAACATGGGGCTGAGCTGTCACCATGCATTTGTCAAATTTTTACTGTGTCTGACCCTTTTCGGGCCTTCTCCCTAGTTTTTTTTCGTTAATTGAAAGTGAAATTCCGAAACAAGCGAGCCGGCAAGTAGTAATAGAAGAAAAAGAAAGATTTGAAAACATGCCAAGCGCCGTAACTCACGTTATTACGTGAGCAGAGACGAAAATCCTCAAGGGGACAACCAATTGGACTGTCCTAGTTTTGAAAGTTTTCACGCTTAGCTAGATTGCAAGATTACGAAAGTACTCAAGAAGTGGGGAGAAACACTCGACTACCTCTTGTATTTCTCCTTATGGAGCTCCGTACGTCTCGTGTTTCACCCCAAACTTCTTTTGTGCTCTAGCCGCTTCATGTGCGTTAACAATAGCACAGAGCACTGTCAAGGCTTTTCGAGATCTTTGAGTCGTACTCTAGGGGTTGGTGAAGGATTTAAGAGGGATCACATGGTTTTCAAGGGATAATGGAGGGGGATCCGTCGTCACCAACAGAGTATGAAGAAGAACTATAGAAAATCGACTGTCAATTAACTGCTAATGAAGGGAAATTGTAAGAATATTGAAGATCCCCATAAGGGGTCAGGCAAATTTTATTGTGACACAACCAAAATCCTTTGACCCCTCCCCCAAGGGAGTTTCAAGTTTTCCCGCGCTTCCCATGTCTCATGGGATAGCATTGTTTCCGGATTAAATTATTGCCTTTGTTGAACACAGCTACAAATCGACCAAATTTTCTCGAGGAACACGCAATTAAGTGAAAGGTTTTACACCTACAGATAAGATGAGAGGGATCGCTGAACAATCTCAATAATTGATGACATACTTTATGAGGCTTCTTATTCGGCTCGCTCTTTTTTGTACTAAGTGACAGCTGGGCAATTGAGCGAAGGAGCAATCCGTGTACAGGTGGTTAAAAGAAAAGAAAGTTTTTGAGGATAAATGCATCCAGTATCGTAAAGACTGCTAGTAAAATTTCAACAGCATGTAGTTTGATGGGCTTGGTTGGAAACTTGAGGATATGGGATCTCATATCTGGGATCCTCTATCATGAACGCAGACCCTATACCAAGGGTTATAAGGTAAGCGAGGTGGTATGAACGAGCGCTTTACAAAATGTAGAGCGAAAAAGTGCCTTAAGTAGAGGCTGCCTTCCATTAAGAAAAATATTTTGAGCCATTTAAAACTAAAAAGCTTCAAGGTATATGTAGGCTTTGGTGTGAACGAGATATTGGAGAAATTTTTCAGAATTCCAGAACCTTCAATAACTTTAATTGATGGAACAAAATGAGATTATAAAAATAATGTTACCCCTAGGCTCCAGTCGCATGAGTTACTCGCATGAGTTTTTAGTGAACTACAAATACATTTGTGGCATTTTGATTTAATATATTCTTTCTGTAGGAACTAATATATATGGATCAAGGGCAATCATACAATTCTGAAATCATTTGTAAACTTTTTTACAGGACATTATCTGAATGACCAAGCTGCCCTCATGAAGATAACCTTTGTGATTGAGGAATGGAGTCGGTCAACCAAAGGTGGTCGTTCCACCTTAATGAGACAGATGGCCATAGAACTCTCTAGACTAGAAAATGTTGAAATTGGTATTTTGATTCCACGTGCCAGTCCAGAGGATAGAGAAGATGCCCAAAAATATAAAATCAAGGTTTTTGAACCTGAAACATATACAGCCTATAAGCCAGTTGATTGTCTGCAGTATCCCCCGAAAGGATTTAGTACTGACGTTATCATTAGTTATGGCATTAAGCCTGGACGTCATGGACAGGTCCTTAAGAATAACCTTGGCTGTAAATGGGTGCATGTGGTCCTGAGAAATGCAGAAGAAACAGTATTTTTCCAGAAAAACCGAGGTGCCATTTCCGAAGGTCAGAAACAGTACAAACTTGAGGTAGAATTGTGTAAGAAAGCTGACATGGTTTTAACAGTTGGCTCTCAGCTTGAAGAATCCTTTAATTCTGCTCTGCGTCATTGTAAGGAAGATCATATATTCAATCTTATACCTGGCATTTTTGATGAGTCTTTTGTTGAACAGAAGCAATACCGAAATTCAAAGACCTTTGAAATCTTAGTGTTTGGCAGAGGGAACGCCGAAGACTTTGAACATGAAGGTCTTCATGTTGCTGCTGAAGCTGTGGCACAGCTTAATAAGTATGAGCCATGTTATTTTCTAAAAGTTGTTGGTGCCCCTGAGGGAGAGCAAGAGAAACTGGCTGAGAGGTTGCAAGGCCTTGGGATCTCTTGTAATCATCTAACTGTGAAAAGTTCTGGCGAAGAAAGAACAAAACTGGCTCGGCAATTTTCGAAAGTGGATCTTGTTTTGATGCCTTCAGGTACAGGGGCGTTTGGTCTCACAGCTTTGGAGGCATTGTCAGCAGGTGTACCAATCCTTATTACCCAGAATTCTGGCTTGGCAAAGGCTCTAGAGAAAGTACCTTTAGGGCATGGCTGTATAGTACATGTAGGTCAAGCAGAAGGTCAGGCAGCTGAATGGGCTGAACATATCAAGCGAGTAAAAAAAAATCTAGAGACTAGATTAGAAGGGGCAAGGATGCTACGCAACATTTATAGCGAGAAATACTCTTGGATGGATCAATGTGCTGCTTTTGTGAAGAAGCTCAGAGCCTTGCATTCAGGTTAAAATATTAATTTTATATGCATTTACCGGAAGTACAAGAATTCAACAAGTATCTAGTAGCTAATTGGCACAAATCTGTTTATCATTTTGAAATAGACATCATGACTTGAATTAATACAAGAGAGAAATAAAAAAAAGATGGATATTAGGGGATGTTTTTTTATCTGTGCAATTTGTTGCTGATTTCAGTATGATATATATGTTTCAGTGCAAATATGTTTCGATTTTCATGTACTCAAAGAAACCAATCTTTCAAATGGCCTCTGAAATAACACCAGATAACAAGCTTGCCACAAAAATCAAGGCAACAAATTATAGTTACTTACAAGGCCAGGCTTAACACTAATACAGGTTTCAGCTCTTTAGTTCCATTGTACTGATATGAGTTAAAGTACAGCTGCACCAACGTATTTTATTCATGTGAGGCTTAGATGATTAGCTGTCTTTGTGTAATTTGTGCTATTTATTTATTGGCATCTAACAGGACGTGCTGAGGGAATGCAACAGGAGTCCCGAGGCAAAAGGCACTCAGCTCGAAAGCGAGTGGCAGGTATTATTGCTCAATGGTATATTTTTAAAACATACCCTAGCGTAATTAGCACTCTACATCCTTTGCAAATAGAGCAGGTACATAACACTGAATTACACCAGATAACAAGCTTGCCACAAAAATTTGCAACAAATTACAGTTCCTAACAAGGCTTAACATTATTACAGGTTTCACCTCCTTAGTTCCATTGTAATGATATGAGTTGATGTACAGCTGCACCAACATATTTTACTCAAGTGGGGCTTAGATGCATGACAGTCACACTGATACTTTGATTATAGTTGTCTTTGTGTAATTTGTGCTATTCCTTTATTGACATCTAACAGGACATGCTGTGGAAATGCAACAGGAGTCCCAGGGCAAAAGAAGTTCACCTCGAAAGCGAGTGGCTGGTATTATAACTCACTTATCTACTTTTTAACCATGCCTTAGTCTTATCAATGCTCTGCATCCTTTTCGTATAGAGCTGATACAAACATTGAAATTACACCAGATGACAAGCTTGCCACAAAAATGTGCCAAAAATTACAGTTATTTACCAGGCTTAACACTATAACAGGTTTCACCTCCTTAGTTCCATGCATTGTAATGCTGTGTGTTAAAGTACAGCTGCACCAACATATTTTACTCATGTGGGGCTTAGAAAAACGACAGTCACACCAAGACTTTGGTTAGTTGTCTTTGTGTAATTTGTGCTTTTCATTATTCGCATCTGACAGGACATGCTGTGGAAATGCAACAGGAGTCCCAAGGCAAAAGAAGGTCATCTCGAAAGCGAGTGACTGGTATTATTACTCACTTATCTACTTTCTAAACGTGCCCTAGTGTTATCAACACTCTGCATCCTATTTGTATTGAGATGTTATGAAACATTGAAATTACAACAGATAACAAGCTTGCCACAAAAATGCAACAAATTATGGTTAATTAAAAGGCAAAAAACTCTTACAGGTTTCACCTTAGTTCCGTGCATTGTAATGCTATGAGTTGAAGTACAGCTGCACCAACATATTTTACTCATGTGGGGCTTAGATAAATGACAGTCACACTGATGCTTTGATTAGTTGTCTCTGTGTAATTTGTGCTATTTTTTTATTGACATCTAACAGGACATGCTGTGGAAATGCAACAGAAGTCCCAAGGCAAAAGAAGTTCACCTCGAAAGCGAGTGGCTGGTATTATTACTCAATTGCTTACTTTTTAACCATGCCTTAGCATTATCAACACTCTGCATTCTTTTAATATAGATTAGGTACAAAACATTAAAATTACACCAGGTAACAAGCTTTCCAAAAACAGGTGCAACAAACTAAAGTTTCTCACAAGGCTTAACACTATTACAGGTTTCACCTCCCTAGTTCCATTGTAATACTGTGAGTTGATGTACAGCTGCACCAACGTATTTTACTCAAGTGGGGCTTAGATGAATGACAGTCACACTTATACTTTGATTATAGTTGTCTTTGCGTAATTTGTGCTATTCATTTATGAACATCTAATAGGAGATGCTGAGGAAATGCAACAGGAGTTCCAAAACAAAAGAGGTTCACTTCGAAAGCAAGTGGCTGGTATTATTACTCACTTGCCTACTTTTTAACCATGCCTTAGTGTTATCAATGCTTTGCATCCTTTTTGTATAAAGCTGGTACAGAACATTGAATTACGCCAGATAACAAACTTGCCCCAAAAATATGCAACAAATTACAGTTATTTACAAGGCTTATATCCACTATTACAGGTTTCACCTCCTTAGTTTCGTGCATTGAAATGCTATGTGTTAAAGTACAGCTGCACTAACATTTTAATTTTTACTCATGTGGGGCTTAGATAAATCACAGTCATACTGATACTTTGATCAGTTGTCTTTGTGTAATTTGTGCAATCCCTCTATGATATTTAACAGGACATGCTGAGGAAATGCAACAGGAGTCCCAAGGCAAAAGAAGTTCACCTCGAAAGAAAGTTGCTGGTATTATTACTCACTTGTCTACTTTTTAAACATGCGTTAGAGTTATTAACACTCTGCATTCTTTTTGTAAAGAGCAGTTACAGAACATTGGAATTACACCAGATGACAGGCTTGCCACAAAAATATGCAACAAATTACAGTTACTTGCAAGGCTTAATAAGCAGTATTACAGGTTTCACCTCCTTAGTTCCATGCATTGTAATGCTATGTGTTAAAGTACAGCTGCAACAACATATTTTACTCAAGTGGGGCTTAGATGAATGACAGTCACACTGATATTTTGATTAGTCGTCTTGGTGTAATTTGTGCTATTCATTTATCGACATCAAACAGGACACACTGAGGAAATGCAACAGGAGTCCCAAGGCAAAAGAAGTTCTCCTCGAAAGCGATTGGCTGGTATTATTACTCACTTGTCTTTGTTTCAACCATGCCTTGGTGTTATGAACCCTCTTCATCCTTGTTGTAGAGAGCTGGTAAAAAACATTGAATAACGCCAGATCACAAGCTTGCCACAACAATATGCAACAAATTACAGTTATTTACAAGGCTTATCACTTTTTTAAGTTACTTGCAAGGCTTAACACTATTAAAGGTTTCACCTCTTCAGTTCCATGCATTGTAATGCTGCAAATTGAAGTACAGCTGCACCAACATATTTTATTCATGTGGGGCTTAGATGAATGACAGTCACACTGATTCTTTGATCAGTTGTCTTTGTGTAATTTGTGCTATTCATTTCTCGACATCAAACAGGACATGCTGAGGAAATGCAACAGGAGTCCCAGAGCAAAAGAAGTTCACCTCCAAAGCAAGTAGCTGGTATTACTCATTTGTCTTCTTTTTAAAAATGCCCTAGTGTTATTAACACTCTGCATCCTTTTATATGGAGCAGGTAAAAAACATTGTAATGAACCGGTGTCCTTCCCACTTGGCCACCTGCCTCTACAAAGTCTGATGGGAAATCTCTGGCAAAAAAATGCCTTTGCTCTCTTTCCCGTTCCCCCCTCTAAGAAATATTACTTGCAATGAATGACTTTAAAATTTTTACTGAGTCACAGTAAGTAACAAGTGAGCTGGTAATCTTAAAATAATTAACTCCCTTTTTGTTTTTATATTCCAGAGGGAGTAGTAACTGATGATGACCTTCAAACACTTGGCAAAGCTATTGGTGGCAAGTGGGATCAACTGGCACGTCGACTACCTGGAATTAAGGAAGAGGACATAGAAGGAATTGAAGTCAGATATGATACTTTGCCTCAAAGGGGATTTCATATGCTGAGACTGTGGAAAACAAACAATGGGGAAGCTGCAGACTATAAGACTTTGTATGATGCGTTAGTCCACAATGTGGTACAGCGGAAAGACCTTGCAGAAAAGTATTGTTTTAAGTAATAATATCACGTAGATATTGCTCATACCAAAATCTAGCAGTAAGTACAAAAACGAGACGGCCTTATGTGGAAAAAAAAGGTTATTTTGCTACAGTAAATGCCAATAAATTCCAGTTGGTTATTCATGATTGTTAGAATCTAGCGATTAATATAACCTTGATATAAATGTATTTATCGATAGCCTTTTTAAAACATTGTACAACATTTTTGGTGTGTTTAGCTGAGTATTATACACGCATTTGATTGGATCTATTGGAGGACAGACTCGTACGTATATGGAGGAGAATGCGAGGCTTCGCTCAAGAGAAAAGTTCTTTTAAATATAGTTAGAGTATTTTGTACAGACTAAGTTCTCAACGTATTTTAATGTAGACCACTATATATATTGTCTTTAAAAACAAAAAAGGAACTGCTTGTTTGGAGGAATTAGGTCACAGGCTGTTCAAGCTGTGAGATGATCATGGGAAGTAAGCATCATGGCGAAATTATAAGAGTTTGTATGGGAATTTTTACGACCGCCCTTTGGAATAAAAAATAAGCCAAATTCTCAATAAAAATACCTTACCTTACTTCCATAGTACATCACTTGTTATCTGACCGCTTACTATGTTGAAAAGAACCCAACCCAAAAGAACCCCCGAGTTATTACTGGGATACCTGTGGTAGCCCAGTCATAAAATGTCGTCTTTTTTTTTTTTTTTTTTTTCTTCCGTTACAAAATGGAAAAATTGCGCAATAGTACCCAGTGGTCATTGGGCCCTCAACCCTCAACACCATGACAACTAACTGTGATCCAATGAGGGTGAAGGTGTTCACATGCTGATCACGTGTTATCTTGATGATGATTGACGTTGTCATGCACGGACAGGTCCGGGTCACATGACGAGCACGAGATTTTTTGCTTAGAAAACTCTTTGATCGGTCGTTTTGTATTTCAACGTGTTTGGATTACGATCACCTGAAGCATTATAGCGCAAACGCTCGAAATACTTACAGACGCATACACAAGTCGTATTGTTCGCGGCCAATCCACACTAAAAGATGTTATTGAGCGGTAATTTTGGACCGGATTGAGTCGCGAACTGTGTCTCCGTTGTAGTTTCTGGTGATTTCTGCCGTTTTAAGCTTGCTTTACCATCACTGTTATTCACATCATCTACTTTTATTACGTTGGTAAAATCTGTAAAGACATCACACAAACCAACTCGCGCACAAAGTAAGAAGAGTATATTGAAGGCTTGAAATTATATTACGATCGATTTTCATCAAGAAATGGGCCAGGAATTTTCCAAAATAGTGCAAATAATCGTGAAGGCTGATGAAAAGCGATTGCGTGACGCTCGGTAAGCTGTAAGATGACATGTTATTATTTACCAGACGTAAAAACTCTTCAGATTCTCAGTCTGCATTTTGTACCCACTCTGCAGTCTCCAGTCTATATTTTGTATTCGGTCTGCTGTCTGCATTTTGTACTGACAGGTATCTGGCACCAATACAGTTTATTTTTGGTTACATTTATTCGCACAACACACATAATCTACCACAAAATACCTGTGTGTGAGGTAATTCGACATTTTCGTTCTTTTCCACGTTAATACTCTTCTTTCCTTTTGTAAGAATGTAGACCACAAGTAATCCACCCACTCTACAAAAAAAAAACTCTTGCATGCATAGCATGCCTATGTTTTGAAATAGGTGTATGCCCTTAGCCAGACTTGAGCTCACTATTTCAGTATACTAATCCGACACCCGTAGTATCACTACACTTGATTCCAAGGATCCAGTACTATCCAGCTATCCCAGTTACCCTGCTCACAGGGTCTAGTTCATTTCTAGGTTTACAACATCAGAGAAGCCCAAAGCTGTATACTCCATTGCCGCACGCCCGATCCGAGAAGCGAAAAATCCAAGCTCAAAATGACCGGGCGGTTACGAATTCAATGCAGAACCCGAGCACATATACTGCAGTTTCATTTCAATTAACTTACTCAATCTTCCACGTGTAAGCGACGCTAAGCTGCGGTTTGCTTCCCTAAGTCCAAAGGTTCCTAATGACCCATGCGCACAACACAACGGTCACACGCAGCACATGCGTAGATTTATCAAAACAATTTGGCGGACTCTCTAATGAGTGTCTGTCTTACAGTGAAGAAGAAAAGGTTAAATTCGAACTATTCCGATGCACAGGACAAATTGAAGAAGGATTTCGGAGACAGTTTAAATCTTGGTCTTGTTTATGTGAAATATCGCGACTGTTTTACCCATGGACGTCGAAATTAGGATCCAAGTTGAGCTGAGCTGTGAACAGAAACTTTAAGTAAAGGTTACAAAAGCGACAGAACACATGTTAACTGTAAGGCTCATCAGCCTCTTGCATGTACTTAAAAATGGCCCAATATTCTGTTGTCTGTTTTTCCCATAAGAGCTCCATACTGGAGATGACTGTCCATTAGCAGTACTTCATTGCCTCTTCCCAGAAAGCAGATGGACATTCAGTTTATGATTACCATGGCTGCATGTTGTGGTTCTCTCACTAGACGCCGGAGGAAGAAAACCAATGGCGACTGTGAAATTTCAAGATTGTGGCATGTGAGTTCCACATCCAGGGGATCTTCAGCAGTAACTATCCCAAGGGAACTCAAACGTTGAATTGCATCTCCTACAGAAAAGTAAGTTGGCTTGCCTCCAGAGACAAGTCCATGAACTGCATTACCATGAGTGATAGTATTTGTCAGGACCATTCCCCACGTTGATTGAAGTTGTTGGGCCAGAAAAGGTACTGATGAGTTTGAAATTACTTACTAAGCAAGTGTAATATCATTAAAAGTAGGAACCATTTTGTCCTCTGAGGGTGGACTGGGATACATTTGTTTAAAAAAAAACCATACTTTTTCCACTGGAGACGTCAGAGTAAAAACCTTGCAAACCATTCGGTTACTAGAATGATTTGTAGAACCTGTGACCTGATGAGCTGAGTTCTGGTTTGATGTTGAGACTGTTGATAAGCTACTTGTAGAACTATATGACTGGTTTCTGCAAAAGGCACCACCAGATTGTGGTATGGAAATGTAATTGAGAACTTGGTCTATGTATTCATGGCATTGTTGGGACTCATGGTACTCTGGATTTCTGTCACTTATAGCTGGGATCTGATCATCATCATTGTCTCCACCACTACCACTACTTTCATCTGATGTTTCTGTTCCACTTGATAAGTTTATTTCACTCATATGTGTTAAATGCCTTGGATAATATTCCTAAATATTCTTGGAATGATTGTGAACACTGTGAACATTGAACATTGCATAGTCTCAGGCACAGATCATAATACATGTGGTAACAAGGTAACCTAATGGTGTCTTCAGTGTCTCTTCTCAGTGAGCATCTGTTATAGTCACAGCATTTTTCAGGGCAGGGTTGGCTGTCAGGATGTCTATGTGTGAACTTATAAGCTAGAGGTTGTGCTTTATTTTCTAATGAGACATTGAAAGTTTTTAGGTGAAATTGTGGCTTTCCTTTTGGCAACCCAGCTCTTGTTTTCTCCTGTGGCATCTGCAAAGGTGAAGAATATGCAATCAGCTATGTTATAACCTTGAAAATTAAAAAAAACCCAAACACATAAACGAAGCAAACAAAGCAAAAAGATATGCTGCTGTTGAAACGAAATTCTAAAACTGTCAATAGTCATTGAACACCTCAGCAAGCACATTGAACCTAATTGAGATTTAGTTCTCTTTATATGCATTATGATATCAAAAAGATTTTATCTGCATAGATGCCTTTTTCATGGAGGTTTTTGATCTATTTTTCATTGCGCTGTTTCTGATGTCCCAATGTTTTTCCAACTGGAAAAACTCTATATCTTTATATCTTGAGAAAAGTAACGCAATAGAAAAGTTAAAATCTAGATATGTGTCAGCTGACATCTATTGTAGATTATTTGACAATTGATTGACTTTGTTATACACAGCTTTTGAAAAATTCAATATGACTAATCCTCACTTAGGACTGGGCCACTGTTAATTGCAGAGCAAGATGCCCCATGATGGTGTAGAAATAGTCACAAGTCTGTAAAATGTTGAGGTTTTTTGTGACTTGCTTATGTTAATATTCGTAGTCGAGTGTTTTTCCCCTCTTCTTGAGTACGTTTGTAATCTTGCAATCTAAATGGGCGCGAAAACCGTCAAAACTCGGACAATCCGATTTGTTATCTCTGTGAGGATTTTCGTCTCTGTTCACGATATAATAACGTAAATTATAGCGCTTAGTATGTTTAAAAATCTTTGTTTGGTTCTTCTGTTGCTAATTGCCGGCTCGCTTGTTTCGAAATTTTACTTTCAATTAAAGAAAAAAGCTAGAGAGAAGGCCCGGAAAGGTCAGATGGCGTGGCAGCTTTAGCTCAGCTCTATGTTTTCTATTCTGAAAGAACATGCTCTTTTAACCAATGACAGCGCGCGTTTTATCCGAACTTTATTATGAATGAATTTAACAAAAAATAATTTCAAGGGTAAAAATCTTAAGTCTAAGAGCAGTTAGACCCGTGGAATTGACAGAATTGAGCTTAAAAGTATGTCAAGCCAGAAGGTGATCAAATTTGCTGGTGTACCAGTATTATCTGTCAGATTTTCCAAAAAGCTGAGGGTACAAAGCGTCAAATTTAGGACCGCGCAAACAAACGCTGACCAGTAATGGCTTATAGGTGTTTGAAATGACCCGGCGGGTACAAAATTGTGACAGGCGCGTTTTATTTTCAAAAAAAAAAATTGCCTGTGTTTTTACTTGGTCATACACTTGAGAGCTCGAGGAATTCGAATGGAACTAACAGCCATTTTACTTTCTCTTATATTTTACGAGGTTTTGGGTAAGTTTCGGACGGCTGAACAAATTGATTTGAGTCAAGAAACCGTGGTATATCTGACATAGCTGACAGTATCGTAAGGGACACGGTCCGCTTCCCTCTCGACCTAGAGATCCTTAAGGCAGGCAAATGAAAATTCATTCAGGGGCCAATTTGATCTGATAAAAAAGACTGAGAATTATTTGCGCACTTTCCGATCATGATTATGTAGTCACAATTGTTTTTCTGTCGATATATTTCAACAGACAACAGTATAATAAGAAGATTATAAATATTTTTGAGATGTGATATAACAAATCTGTCAATTCCGAAGACATTCGGTTGAAAGTTACTCTTGTTTGATTATTCTAGTAAAACAGTTGATTAGCTGAGTGAAATATTAGATAAAATTAATTTCACAAAATGTTCAAGTTCAAACAACCGTATGTGCTACGTAGTAGGTTTTCACCAGAGAATGATTGACTCTTTGCATTTTACGGAAGATTTACATGTATTTATATTTATGTAAAATTCATCATTTAAATTTCAACTTAGATGTAGATAGACTTACTGTACTTTCTTGATAAAACTTTGTAGTATGAAATTTAATCAAATCCTGGCAGTGTTTTTGTGCGTGTTGATTGAAAGAGATTAGCAAGCACTATCCTCTTCTAAGCAGCCGAACAGTCAAAATCGCGCTTCAAAAGTTGGATTTCTAGCCATTTGTAGGTATATTGACAGAAATAGACTAATTTTTTGGTTCCTTTGTGGAATATGCTAATACAATTATTTACCTCAGTGTTGATAAAAATGGTAGATATTCACCTTCGCTCAGGTGAATAATTGTCAAATAACGATGCTGTTTCTTTCCTTCATATCAGGCACCCCAATAAATCACCTAGGCCATCGCCGTCAGTATGTGAGTTATTACCCGGCCGGTTGTGATGGTTATCACATTCCTTGTTACCCACGACCGGAATCTGATTGTGAAATGCGGCGCAGGATAAACCAGCCTGACTGGACTAAACCGGTTTGTAACCTGGACGGTAGTTACAGGGAGTATCAATGTGAGGCTTATTCTCGCTCTAAGTGTTGGTGTGTCTATGACAATGGAATGATGATACCAGGTAAACGCATAGAATATCGTATTCTTCAGTTGATTTTTCATAAGTTTGTGCGCTGTAAAGATTGTGTTAAACGCACCCATCAATTGACCCATCGTTGTTGCAGTCTTCTAAATTGCAGCCAAAATAACGGCACCAACCTCCCCTTCCCCATCTATATAAGTTTCTAGGGTTTCCACGACCGGTCACTGTTGTCCTTTCACATTTCAGAAAGTAATCTCATAACCATATCCTACCGTGTAACTGTAACTGCTTGGCCATGAAGGGTCTGGGTACGAAACTAGGATGAAATACTCCCAAGGTGAAGCTGGTGTTGACCAAGAGCCCTGTCTGCTAATTAAACCTTTAACTCTCAAAATTGATTAACTTGTAACTTCTTCCAATAGAATTCATACATTACCCAACAAACAGGTAATGAGAATACTAAAACTCGTCAGGCAGAAGTTGTTATCTTGATCTAACACCAAATCCTTGTAACTCATTTAAAGGGAAATGTGCAGAAGCTAGAGGGGAAAGTTGAAAACCAGATCGTGGGCGTTAAAGGATTAACCCAGATCAGGATTCACCTGCAGTAATTACAAAAACGTCTATATACACTTTGATATCTATTTAGATCTCCCCATACAATTTTCATTCAGGAACTGAGAAAGATCTTCACGACGCCAATGTGGAATACCGCAATCTGAACTGCGCAGAAGCTAAGAGTAACGCACCGCCTGCTCCTCACCCTCCCCCTGTCAGTTCACCATTCACAGACACAAGAATTGGTTGGCATCTCGCTTACAGAGATGCTTATTTTAGGTGCCCAAGCCCCTGTTATTCTCCCTGTCCGTGTCAGCCTGGGCAACAGTACTACAATCCCTATTATCCAGCCCATGTCGTTAATTCTGCGCCAGTCCGCGCGCCGGTTCCTGCTCCAGCTCCATTGCCAGCCCCTGCACGTGCGCCCATCTATTATCCATACGATCCCTACGCAACCACATATACGGTTAGTAAAACCTCATGATAAGCTAACCGAAAAAAAACTAAAATGAGACAGTCTTTGAGCTCTTAAGACGCTCTAAGGGGCAACCGTTGGAGAGGCCTGTTAAAAAAGAATTTCCAAAGGTATGGCAGCTTTCCAGCATACCACAATAGAATGCCTTCGTTTTCCTTGGCAATACATGCTTGCAAACTCATACAAAAAGAGGTGGTAATACAGTTTTTTGTTATTTATTGATGTTCAGTATCCAAACGGATTTCATTATTCAAAAAATGTTAAACTATGCGAATACTAAATAGTTTTTATGTATCATTCTAAAGATTTTTGTATAAAAATCCTTTTAGATTTGAAAAAATGTCCACAGTCGAAAAACTTGAAAAGAAACGTTTCCAAGCGTCTGTGCAATTTCATGAAGCAACACGATTGGTGTTGGTTTCGCTTTTTGATTGGTCGAGAGGGTGGCGCAAATGTTCTGCACTTATCACATCCCTTAGTGTTACAAAACTAAGCAATCCTGAATAACTTTCGACACTAAATTTGGAATTTTTTTTAACTAAATATATTCGTTTCCAGGCTCCTTATCAAGGCAGCTGTCCGGATCCCTGCCCCGAACCATGCCCGTGTCAAAGAAGTGGGAAAACCCCGCCATCTGAGGAAGAGAACACGAGCAGTGCCACGGGGTCTGGAGATGAGAAAGACGTGACGTCAGAGGGGAACGAGGATGTTCAAGATTAAAATATTTCTTTACACTTCTTCATGACCTTTTCTTTGTTTGAATAAATTGCCTAAAAATATGTTTTTTTCCTTTGTATATCTTGTCTGATGCAACTCACGTCTACCAACTATTAGCCCTTTTTACATAAATATATCTTATTTTGACGTTTTGATGTGTAAAAAATACCCAGTGAGTAAAAATACTCAGCGATACTACACACCAAAACGTCTAATTAGTTATTTATGGTCCACCTGTTAAATTTTATGAGCATTTCTCATAAGGCGAGAAAGGCGAAGTAGACAGATAAGCGTAGCACGCGTAACCGACTGGTTTAATTTTCAAAGAACAAAATAACAAGCTTCCCAAATATCGCGTGATTTCTGCACTTGATACGCGTGTTATTTGTACTCTACCATATTCATTACTTATGCAAAGGCTCCTGACTTTACCTCGTGCAGTTGGATTGGGCTTCTGACCCTACTTTGTGCAGTTGGATAATAAGCTGCAATATTTCTGATAGAACCTATGTTCCGAAAAAAACCCAGAACTGCTGTGTTTGGAAGGGAGAGCTATACTTTTTTCTCTTGACATTACCAATCTCTTCTGACCCGCACCAGGCGTCGCCATGTAGATGTTTTAAAACTTTAGCTGTTTTATGTCTGAGCTTGCCGTCGTTCATTAGCATGCAAAACATTTTTTCTATCTGAAGTTGCAACTGAAAACTTGAAATAAAGCGCGACAAAATGTATTGCGTACGGGAAAGAAAAGAAACTTGAACTTTGATCTTTGCTAAGTCTCAAGACGAGTAAATGAATTAATATAAGTATCTTTGCCAAGTGTCAAGGCGAGTAAATGAAAAAATTTAAGATGATTGATAAAAGATTACATGACCTTTTTGCGATGGAAGAAAGAAAAAGAAAAATTCTCCTTGAAAACCTTCCTCAGCCTAAAAAACTTTCCTAACAAAAAAGACAACAACCTAAACCTGCTTTCTGATTTCATTGTATTTGTTGCATACACGAAAAGGAAAATTTTTAGAAAGATAATATTCGTCTGTCCATCCGGTTTACGTAATGGAGGTCTTTTCCACCTTTCAACCTTTAACATTCAACTTTGCTTTCTTTTTCCGGTATAAAGTGCACTTACAAATAATAATAAACATATGCTTGCAGGGAGTCATTGCTTGCAAGGCAGCCCTGTCCTGCATCCAAGAACTGAAGAGAGCTTGTTTGTTACCGTGTATTTCAGTTCCATTTTCCGAGTGATAACTCATGATGAAGAGGCATATTAGAATTTAGTTTCGTATGACGCTGATGAAAAAGCCCACTCGAACGGCTGAGTTAGATTCACGAATTCAGTTCTGCTTTTGTTTATTTATAGTCTTCAATCTATTTTCTGTGAACCGATTTTGCTGTCGTCCTCCTAAAGAATAGAGGGCAATCACCTATTTCAAGTTGTTTACTTGTCTTTGCAAAAACCAAATAACGCACTTACACACGTTAGAGTAGATTAACTAGATATATGTGCCTTATTTTTGACCCCCGTGGTGGTGTTTTCGAGGAAGATATCATATCTTTAAGATAAAATGCGGTAAAACAAGTTTATGTGGCATGTCCCTCGCGTAAATGCTGATTAATAAACCAACAAGAAATTTCTTGGAGAGTAATAAAAATATATTCTCGCAGCAAATTTTACTATTTCTGGCAAATGCCAACTGTACATATATATCCCTTCAGTACGGTTAAGAATTAAAGAGGTCACGAGTGAACCTCATTGAATCGAAGCGAGAAAAAAAAAAAAGGAAATCGCTAATGAAATTTTTTCAAATTTTCTGTCAATCTCGTAGTCTACTTTAATTTATTTCTCGGAATCGAGCCAAAAAAAAAAAAAAAAAAAAAAAAAAAAAGATGAGAGACGGAAATATTGTTTGCTCGGATAAACTGATGATGGTCGCTTTCGAAATTAATCTGCACATCCTTTTAAATTTCCGGAACAAAATAAAACCGCTTATGTCGAGCTACCTTGCAAACAAACTCAACCGGATCAGGGAAGATATAATATTTTTTTCATTCAAGTGCTTACGCCTCAAAATTTCCTGCTTCTGGGTATAAATATTTCAATTTAATGTTTTCGGATAACTGAAGCTCTAAAGCATTAAAGTGAACTAGAAGTTCTCGATGTAACGTACTTTTATTAATTTTTTTCAATGAACAGTTTGTATGGTTTGACACGGTTTTTCACTAATGGATGTCCAATGGTCTTAGATAAAGAAAAAATAATCTTTAAGCCGTATGAATAAGCTCTTTTAAAACAATTTGTGTGTAAATGTAGGAAAAACCTTGGTCCGTAGCTACTATAGTAGATTCAATCTTTCTCTTCAATTCTTCATCTTGTAATACTCAGTTGGCAAAATGTGTGTCAGGATCAATTATTTCTATCCTTAAAATTGCAATCTACCCGATCTCTTCAATATAAAACCTCCTCCCCCTCTTCCTGAGTGTCATTAAATTTAAAACACTTTTTAGATGTTCGCCGACAGGATAAAAAGCAAATGGAAGCCCGCTTTATTAATGCAAGCTCAGACGATGTCGCACGAGGGGCGTGCGAGGGGGCGGCACACATCGCATCTGACATTTCCTCACGTGAGGCGTAAACAACAAGCTTACACGGTGGGAAGTTGAAACAGTGCGAAACGATGGTAAGTAAAACACCTTTTGAAACACTTTTGTTTTTCTTTTCGCGATTTTTTTTCTTTGCTTACGTCTGGCTGTGAAAGGTGTTCATACAAATGTAAGTAAGGTGCCAATAGAAATCGCGGTATTTTGTCTCACGGTAATAAAAAAGAACATTATTTTTTGAAAGCAATCTATAAATTTTTAGGATCCACGGCATTCAGTTACTGGCACGTGAGCTACACGCTGAAACATGCATCCGTTAAATTTCTTCGTTTCGATGCATCATAAATAACACGTCTTTAGTCGTTTTCAAACTTTTTGTCCAAATATCTAATATTTTCTTGTTTTACTTGGGGGTGTATGAAGTTCATGGTTGAAGCAAGGCGTTCAGATCGGCAAAGACATACGTTCTTTTTCAGTCAGTATATTTTGTCTATAGTGATATTAAGTTTATATTAGTAACTGTTTCCTTCCTTCTCTCCATGTAGTAGGAGTAAATTTTTATAATGTGCATGTAAAATCGAATTATTAGCAAGTAAATTCCAAGCGCTTTCGCTCTCCAACATTTTGCCCATATTACTATCAAATTAAATTTGTACAAAAAAAAAATGCTGTTTTACTTTTCGGTACTTAAGGGAAAAGCAAAGATCAGATTTTTTTCTGAAGTCATTTTGTTTTTTCCGCGCGAGGATACTGCCTCAATCGCAAAGGAGAAAAAAAAACTGCAAATATTTTCCCTATATATTTTCGCATATATTTCGTTACCTTTGCCCTTAAAGCATTCAAATTCGTCGAGATCTTAATTGTTGAGATCTTGAAGCTTTGAGATCTTAAAGGTTTTTCGAAAAAAAAAAAAAGACAGCCCTCAAGCATAAACTGAATGTTATTTAAATCGCTGATGTCAGTTTGTATGGATCTGTTCGCTCAGCATGATATCCATGATGTATAAGCTTTCATGTACTAGTAAAAGTACATTATTTTCAATTGCTGTTTATCTACAAAGAACTGCCAAAAAGGAAACAAAAAACGATGCGATGGCGCCCAATTAACACGAAGTCCCACCTGCGGCAAATTGAACAGAACAAACGAGCCTGTTTTCGGTACTTTCCGCCTCGGGGTAAATTTACCACCTGGCAAGTCTCTTTATGCGCGATTTGGAATGGTTGCTCTAACAATTTCCGAAAGACGAATACATATTTAAATCTAGATAAAAATTTCATTTCTAAATTTGCCACTCTATCTTGTAAAGTTTAGTTTTAGCATAATTTACCATCATTGTAGTTTTTCAAAGAAAATTTGCATCACATTTCAGCGAGAGATATAGTCTCTTGATTTCAGCCCATGTCATCAAAAATTAGCTTTGTTTCTAATTCCAACTCTCTTGTTTTTGAATTTTTCAGGTGTACAGCTAATGGATTTTGATTTTCCAGAGGATCCCTAACCGTTCATTTGCTTTTTCTTGAAAAATTATTGCGTTATCCCCCCCATGACACTCTATGACGCAACGCGGGGCGCTGCGCTGAATCAGAAGAGACTCCTTAAATATGGAATTTAACTTCTCAATAGCGAACATAACAAGTAGAACAAACTTATACTCAGCCAATGAGAGAGTGTCATTGATTCTTAGCCCTCACATTACCATCATCATTGTGGTATTCATCTTATTGGCTATCGTAATAATCGCAGGAAACCTATTGGTTCTTGTGTCCATTCGTTTCAACTCTCGCTTACGAAGCCCAGAATGCATTCTGATATTATCCCTATCAGTCGCCGACCTAATGGTAGGGCTATTCCTACTTCCAGTCAAAATCGTAGAGCTGATGTCTCTTCATCGGGCGAGAAAATTCATGTGGTGTGACATGACAATTTCCCTAACTCTCTTCGTGTTGAGTGCATGCCTGATGAATCTTGTTACCGTCGCATTTGATAGATGTCTGGCGATATCCTACACTATGAGATACAACAGCTTTATGACGGTTCCAAAGGTGTGTTTTGGAATCGTCATGGTATGGCTGACTGCATTCACAGTTGCTTTTTTGCCGTTGTCAGGCGTCGGTACAAAATCGGTGAAAACTCAACATCTTGGGCGCCCATGTTGCTTCTCTGACATCTTGGAAGAAACCTACATGGGGCTTTACTTTGCCTTTATTTGTGCAACACCGACTGTACTCATAACCACGGCATACTTAAAGATCTTTCTTCTGGCACGCAGTCAGGCACGACGGATTTCTTCACTAAGGATGTACATAGAGGAACTTTCAACATATAATGGAGGACCGATGAACTCGCCAAGACCGATTCGTTTCGCACGAGAATCAAAAGCCGCTAAGACTATAGGTAAGGTGCAAAAATCTGTATTTTATGAATTTTCCTTTTTTTCTCGTAAATCTACGAGTTTTTTGGGGTGCATTTCGATAGAGTTTCGTAAAATCAAACCAAGTAAATCCCCTTGACCCTTCAGAAGAAGTGGAAACAAAAACGACGGGAAATTGCCTAATTTTATCGAAGTAATCATTGCACGATAGCCCGCGATAGTTGAAAAATTAAATATAGAGTTAATTCTGTTGTTTTTCACGGTGGATTTTTCGACGGGACCTGGAAAGTTATCGTCATAAATAAGGTTACGTTTGTCAACTGGAATGGAAAATGTTCTTTATAAAACAATTGTCCATATAATGTCGAAAGTAATCCGAGATTGCTGTGATTTTGCTTTCCTTCGCTCCGTGATTGGCGTAGAAAACTTGCACCATTCTCTCGACCAATCAGATGCAAGGCTAAAAGTAATTACGAGTTGGTCGTCGGCGTTTTCCTGCGCTTTAGGTAATTTGCTTGATTTTACTTTGAGGTATTTACTCTAAAGGTATTTTCCTTCCTCCTGATTTTCTTTGGTTTTGGTTAAACGACACTCAATCGAAAAGCGCTCTAAATTGATTACAAAAGATCACAGTGCACAGTAACTCTCCGCTGCTTCTTCGGCGGGTAAGTGAGATTACATTTTGACATTTCACATCAATGAGCTATCATGAAAATCTGTTCTACAGTCTTATCTAACCTACATTTTTCTTTAATTGTAGCGATTGTCGTTGGTGTGTTTTACCTGTGTTGGATTCCATTCTTCGTCAGCATTCTTTCAACAACTTTCAAACAAGAAGCTGTTCCTTATCTTAACGCCGCTTTGGTGACATGCCTTGTTTACTCCAACTCCGCATTGAATCCGCTCATCTACGGATGGCTGAATCAAGAGTTCAAAACCACTTACAAGAGATTGGCCAAAAGTTTTCTCTGCCTCACTCGAACCAGGTGCCTCTCAAGCTTTCGTGTAACTAGGATAAAAAAGTCCCCTGTGCGGCACACAGTCACCTCAACGATCTCTGCTACGCAATCAGAAATAGCATCGCAGAACTTCCACCCAAGTGCGTGCTGTACAAGAAACTTGTAGAACATGGTCGATTCTTTTGCAGACTGAGATTTTATTTGGAGAATGCAGTGACAAGGTTAAACAAAATTCAAACACAGTCATAGATAAACTGAGCTGTCATTTTATCGCTTAAGGGGAGGGGGTCGTGGGATTTTATTTGTATCACGATACAATTTACCTGCTCCCCCTATAGGGTTCCGTAAAGTTCCTATTATCCCGTCCCCCCCTCATTGGCATTTCATTGGCACTCAATTTTCTATAGTCTTCCTTTATACTCTATTGGCGACGACTGACCTCCCCTCCCTTTCCTTCTGAGAACCATGATATTCCTCCGCCCAAGAAAATCCCTCACCTCCCCAAGCGATAAAGACGACTCTTCCCTGAGGAAAATCTTTTAAAGGCTTTGATGTTGCTATCGAAACATATTTAATTTTCTCGGAAAAAGTCTTTGATTTGTTTAATTGTGGTTGGAAATTCGTAAGAATCCATTTCGAAGGAGCAAATGGAAATATTTTCTTATTGATCCCACGAACGATAAAAGTGTGTCGGTTTTGTGCCTCCTTGATTGAAAATGTTTTGATACTTTGAATACCAGCTTCACATGTTTCTCGCGTGGAAACAGGACATCTTCTAACAAAAGTGAACTTTATTTTTCTTCCGCTTTCTAGCAAGAGAGAAATAATTATTTGATGCGCTCTTGCATCAAGTAATGTCTCCATATGCAATGTGGGATGTTATTTTAATTCCTGCCTCTGATAACCTTTCTATAGGGATTGATACTTTCAAATATTGCAAATATTCAATTGTGAAGTTCAACAATAGAACATTATTAAATTGCCTAAAGTCTTCCAAAGACTGTTTGTAAAATATTTTGATGACATATCGACGTCGCTTCATGTCATTATCAAGTCAAGTATAAAAATGACGAGTGAAAGTATTTAAAGTAATAAAAATTTATTAAGAGAATGATTTTGTCTCCATGGGTATACTTCCCAATTGTAAAATAACATCGAGTCGCATTTGATTAGTCTTGCACTGCACTTTTCCAAGAGAAGATTTGGAGAAACATTGGATGCAAAGTTCAACGCTGTAAATTAAAATATACCAAATATTCTAAAAACTGTTTGGAAAAAAAATTTAACAAAGTTTCGACGTTGCTTCACGTCATTCTCAATTCAAGGGGAAAAATGAGAAGAGCAGATATCATCTAAGGTCATTAAAACACTGTTTATTATCGCCACAAGAGCGGAAATAAAAATGTGATTATATTTTGTAAAAATCTCACTGAATTATCTTTAATGGGTTATAATAAAATTATTTGAAAACCAAAGACGTTGAGAGATCTCGAGGAAAGAGAGACGGGAGAGGCAATAAGATCGTGGCGAATGAAAACAGTATTGAGTAGAACAATGGTCCAGCACGTGTGTTCTTTAACTTTTCAGATTTCCTGGCCGTCTTTGGCAAAACAAAAATTTGAAGTTACCAACTTTGCGTGGTGTGAGTAAGGCAGACCGCCGGAGAATTATTCACCTTTCAATTTGGAACTCATAGCTTCTCACACATGATATCATGGGCTAAGTAGAAGTCTGACGCCCTTGACGGAGACGGTAAAGATTCGCGTAATTTTTTAAGAACATAAAATCATCTTTTAATGGACGTTTTCTTAGGTGTTGCCGTTCTGACAACTCAAGTTTCCAAATAAATTGAAACTAGGTTACGGAATCTTCATGTAGGCTTTTCTGCTGTGGAGATTTTTCCGATGTTGGCTATGAACTCAGGGTATCCGCTCCTCCGTGAGAAGCGTGACATATTTTCCGTGTATTATGAAACGTTTAGTGAGGAACAATTAAAAAAGCTTTATGTAATGTTCACGTTCATAACAGTGGATGGTTGTTTCTAGATTCTCCCTGGTTGTTCTAAAACGAAAGTTATTTCAACGTTTCATACTTTTGAAAGAAGGTCTATACAGAGGTTCAGTCCTTTCGCGATTAAAGTCAATGCTGGGAATGGAAGTTCCATATTAGTTGAAATAGTTGAAGCAAGATTTTCCCGCTTCCTTCTCAAATGTAGTGCTATGATAAAAAGAATTGTTTCCTATATCAGCGAGGTACTCAGTTTGGTGCCCAAAGATTTTCTCAACCAGGGTTTGGCAGATTTCAGTCATACATTTTCGGGCAGATGGCTCTATCCCAGTCAATTCTTCACCTCGATAAGTTTGGGAACGTTTAAGCGGGAGACAAGCTATGGTTCTCGGGTGTAGACCTGATATCGTTCTGTTTTTTCCTTTTTAGTAAATTTCCCACCGACACAAAAATACGCCTCTCGATCCCTTAAAAAAGATTTCTAATACTTTTACCACCCTTCTGATCTTGTTTGGTTCTGGAAACACTCTATTTATTCTTTTCTATGGATGATCATCACACGGTAGAAAACTTATGAGTCACGTAAGTAGGTTCTGTGGAACGTCACCTTCGTGTTTGCTAGTTTTAAAGTCGTTTTAAAGTCTTGAGCGATTAACTTTATACAATAACTTTTTCTACTCATTAGTTTATTTAGCACTTCCTTTTTATCGCGTGCGCACGTGTCCTGATATTACGTCAAGAGTATCCGTCGATAAGTATCACGAACGCACGCTTGTCGTAATCATAGCGGGATTCGTCGAGCGTCATTCCTGAGTATTTACTCTATGTCTCACAAACATGGTGTAGAAAATGACTATTCCTGATGTCTCAGAATGAGGCTTAATGAACGCGAGGAAGATAAAGTCACTTCACAGTGAAGCTAAAGGGGGCATCTTCGTTGGAGATGATTTTCCGGCGTTAAGGCTCGCCCAGGCAGATCTTCCGTCAAGACCACAATAGACGGAGAACTAAAACAGTTTCTTGTTGTTGTGGTCCTCAAAACTTTTGCATCAATCCGCCCCGTAAAGCTAAAATGCACCACCTTTACAACTCAAAACGTCACAGATTTCCTACGAAAAGATCCCGTCTTCTTTATCAGTCCTTCTTTCATCTTCGACAACGAAGAAGGCTGGTTCCGTTTATCATTAGAGCCGATTTTTTCATGCCGTAAGTACTGTCTGACCGATCCTGAGAGCATCTCCGACACCTCTTTGTATCCGTCGCTTGAAGCAACTGAAATTTCGTAAAACGGACATTCAAGTTCTTGAGACAAATCGCTGCCTTCTGTTTCATCCACCTCTCGAAAATGTTCTAAATCTCTTTTTGTACCAATAAGAATTATCATCACCGAATTTCCGTTTGTTTTTCGTCTCCGGATATGTCTTCCAATACGACCAGCTTCGTGGAAACTCGAGCGATCGGTGATGGAGTATAATACGAGGAATATGTCTCCACGAGTGAGGCAATTGTTCAACTTTACTTCTGAATTCTGCAAAGTAGGAAAAAAAAGCTGATAAGGTATTGAAATTCGGGAGATATCACTTTTTGTTGACTAAGAGTGGGAGGATCTTACGCCAAGCCTGTCAAGCTTAAGACTATCTCTCTTGTTTACATCTGACGCTCCAGTTCACTTTGATTTACACACGAAACGTTGTATTTTTATTTCACCTTTAAGTGTGCATTTGATTTAAGCAAACTTTTTAAAAATTTTGAAAATGATTTTTCAGACTGCAGCTCAGATGCCTCTGTCTGTCTGTTGCTCATACTATTCGAATGAAACAAATTGATAATGCATCTAGAGTCATTAGAAATTAATCGAGAAAATGATTTATTCCAACGGCAGTAGTAAGTTAAAACAACCTGATAAAAGAAAACGTTCTACTTATTTATTTATTTGCTCAACAAATTCCGTTACTTTAGTTTTTCACTGCTCCACCAAAGTAACTCTTTGTTATTATTACTTTTTTTCAATTCATAATTGATTCAAGACTGGATAATTCAAACTGAGTTGTTAGTAATGAAAAGTTTCCCGATGGTTTACCTCTCCAGCTGTATCCATTAAATCAACATAGATGAAATCATTATCCACTTCCATGTGGTGTCTCCATGTTGATTCTGAAGTTGAAATATGATGAGAAGGATATTATTTGAGCCCAATGAATTATACAGTGTATCAGATAGGCTCGATTATATCGGGATAGATAGTGTATCAGTGTATAAGTGTACAGTGTATCAGATAGGCTCGGGAATATGAGCCCGCGCTCCTCCCCTCGGGGTGGAGCGAAGACCGGACACGAGGGAGATCGAGCCTATCTACCATAGCGCTTTTTGATTGAATGACTAAAAGCAAAATCAGACTAATCTCAAAGGCCGATCAGAAGAAAAGAAATAACTTTAAGAGCCAATAAGAACTACAGGTGAAACAACCATTCTGCCCGCTAAAGCGCGGGAAAACGCGGGCGACCAAAGTCGTGATTGGTTTTAGTTTTGCATCTGATTTGTTAAGAAAGTGGCGCAAGTTTTTCTGGACCAATAGCAGACATATGTGCGTGATTTTTGAGAAGTAAACAGAAAGTGCAATCATGACACTGGTGGAATACCCTTACTTAACCAAAATTATTCCGTTCAAAAAAATGTTGCCTTTGTTTCGTTTAAACAAAGTTTCATCAAAATGACTCGAAAATTCCACGAATGGAAATAAATCAGTTCTACCTACCTAACGTTTGGTCATATTCTGTGATAAACCTTCTTGTAAGAAAACGGACAATGAGAGCTGCAAAGTAACCAATAGAAAAGAATAAATCAGACAAGCTTGTAAAAAGCAGCTAAGATGAAAAAAGAAAATCAGTTAACTTAGCAATATGAAGTAGCCTCAGATGCACTTTCAATACAGCTCGAAAAAGTGAATGGACTCTTTAGAGTTTGAAGAATGGTTGAACATTAGGAAAGTTCACTTCAACACGAATTTCAAAGATTCAATAGTTGTTAACTTGAAAAAATAAGAGGTCGACAAACCGAGTAGTTCAGTAAAACTCTGCAAAGTTCATGAAAAGCTTTTGTTCAAATTTTCATAAGCTGTATATTTTTTCCTTTGACCATTTTGCTGCACGATCTATAATGAATCCCTTTGAAGACAATTATTTTAATTTGGAATGAGGCGCTTTTATTGATTTCCCGGCCAGCTTTTCATATCTTATTATCATTAAGATTAAACATTTAGGTGGGGTATAGTATTTTGTCTACAGAATAAATTTTTTGATCAACTCTTACATGTTCAATGAACTGAATATAATAGAGTTGTTTTTCTCATGTCGACATTCTCGGCTTGTAAAAACTAGGGAAATTTTTTCCAGCCCTTGTCATGTTAATTTCTTTTTTTTCGCAGTTAATTTGTCAATTTGACCCGAACATAAATGTTCAATCAAAATTTGAGAAAACGTTGTGATTGGAAAATGTGATTTTGAACACATAGTTTTGTTTTCTTGATGACGCAAACTAAGCCAAAATTCGGACTTAAAAACGATCGCAAAGTTAATGTTATCTTTTCATCTTTATAAACTTCCGGCCACAAAGTTTGTTTTGGCCCATCAATTCAGTTGTTACGTAACAAATAAATAGTCAGTAAATACGAAAATTGTTAATTAACACGAAGGCACTACCGAACAGTAACTGTTATTTGAAGATAAGATTAAACAGCTCGCAAAAAATATTGCTGAAGTGATTTTTCGTCACTAGCGTGGGATAAAAGGAAGAAGTATGAGTTTCTCTCATCAAGGATTCAAAAGCCAGATCTTTGAAATCCGCGGTTGAATGCTCTTTCATCGAGCTACAGAGAATTCGTTGGAGAGTCAGGCCATGTTCGACAACGGAGCAAAAACTTTCTTTTATCTCTTATTGAATCATGTTGGTTGCATTTTAGTGAGCATGTTTCCCTAGAGTTGCTTGACTGCATTTCAGGTCAAAAGATTTAGACGATTGATTGATTAAGACTGGTTGTTGATGATTCGGTTTAAATTGAACGGGAGCAAACAAACCTTTAGTTTCAAAAATATACGCCGATAGAGTTTATGTTCTTGGGTGGGCATAAATGTGTTCTGGGTTTGACTCTCGGCCATTTTATCCTGAGCCGGTAGGTAGGTGGTAAACTGACCCTGAGAAGGACTGAAAACATATTCATGCCCAAGAATAAAACTTCATCGCTATCAATATCACTATGTAGGGCATTGCGCATATAAAAACCGCAAAAGAAAGAAAAAAAAAATTGACGACAAAACAGCCCGAGCAATCAATCACGCGAGCGGGCTAAAATACACTTTAGCCCACTAAAATATCTATTTTAGCTCGTAAAATGCGCAGCAATGTTCTTCAAAGTAATAATAATATTGATTAATGTAGATAAATAAGGCTTCACTAAGGCACTATTTATTTCAATTAATCTCATGAAGAAAGAAAACATAAACAAAAAAACGATCATCGCTAATAAAACGGTTTCGTATTATAAACGCGTGCATTATTGCACCTTAGCAAATGAAAATAGCGATCAATTTTAATTACGGTGAATATTGCAAAATCCAATTACAGACACTTAAGAAGCTTAAATATTTATTTTGGAGTAACCTTAGAGAAGAGCTAACTTGATTGAGAAAAAAAATCTATTAGCGCATAAACTTTAATCTGGAAATTACTCAGTTGATAGCATAACAAAACCAAGGTCGAAATCTGAGATTTTTGCAGGCTACAATGTGTTAATGGAGAGCGAACTATACCGAAAGCACAATTAAGAAAATTGAAACACTTGAACTTTCAAGTGCGTATTGCTTTTTATAGTAAAAAGTCGAAATGAAGCTCGATAAAAAAATCACACTTACTGATAAGATAGTGGCAGTTAACATTCCTGCCAAGTGATAAAAAACAGTATGGCACGTTCACAGAATTTGTTGCATATAACCAGCTCACCTGACTTTCCTACACCGTCCTGTCCGAGAACTACCACTCGTGCAGCCTTGAAATTGGGTTGATGGCTCGTTTTACGTTTGCGCATGATTCAGGCTTTTTCGAAATGATATCAACGGGTTAGGCGTGAAATCTGAAAATGGAAATGGCGGAAACGAAGTTTAACGTTGCAATGTCAATCAATATTTAGGGGAAAGATACAGTCAGGTTTTAAAAGTCAGGATTAGGAACGTTCAGATCGATTTAAGCCTCTTACAGTTAAGGATCTTTATTGCTACTTGAATCTTGAGAGGGCTCTTGGAAAACAACAGTGTCTTCTTATCGGTTTGACCCTCACCATTTCTAATTCAGTTCTTGTAGTTCATTGCGTTGCTTTGCGTTCAGTCATAATCACTTCATAAAAGTTAAGTCAAAAGCGCTGAGAGCTTTTTGGTAAACTCAGAGTCATATATTACGCTTCTTGGCTATCAGTCTCTGAAAGTCCGCACATTATAAACAGTCAGTTGTACTAAATGGACGGCATTTAAGAACTATGGTTGAAAAGACGTCTTAACATTAATATGCTTACAATGATTCATCTATCTGAATGAAATAACAAGTACCTCAAATTCTAAGAAGATTCTTTACCTGCATCCAAGCAATGCAAACTTAATTTAGCAGGCCAGACGATCTGAGAGGCTCATGAACGCTAAATGTTATGGCAAATTAAACACTTGGGCCTTCACTCAAAACACTTACAACTCATCATCGGTTTGAAACAATTCGGGAATGCCTATTGGCTGATAGCATTCACCCCAGACAAATCGAGGACTTCAAAGTGCTCGGATGGAATGTTTGTCGCGCAAACATAAGATTGGACGTAATTCTATCAGTATTGAGTTGCACTGTTTGTATTCTTGGACTCCAGACCAGTTGACAAAATGAGTATTCTTAAAAAAGCAACATGAAAACTTTTAACATAATCTTTCTTGTTGCTTTTTAGTTTGTGTCACTTGAGTTTGATAGGAGCACCATCTCTCTGAATAACTATTGCAATTAGCGGCTCTACTTAAGGATCAAAGATCTTGATTATAAAAGGAAAAGTAATTATTTGTGGTTTCGCACGGGTGAACTTTCGTCAATCCTGACCAATTACGTATAATTCGATAAAGCCGAGAAAAGTGTACTCGCTCTAAGTTAACCTGGCAAGCGAAGAGGTGTATGAATTAAAAGGACCTCAGATTAGGGGTAGTCTGTGGAGACTCTATAACTACTCCTGATTGCCTCACGTATTACGTTTTATCTTGTTGCATGTTGATTTCCATATCACACTCGCTACTTCAGATCCTCCTAACTGTATGGCTCGGTGGCTCGACCTCTCTCAGCATGGCTTCCATTATCCATTGGCCGAATCAATTTTAAGAACGTTTTATAACAATGGAAATATAACTTATCATTTCTGTTTAATGATGACCCCTTAAGGTAGAAATAAATTGGATCAGGAAAGTTCATGAAACACCTCTGCGCAATGGTCCGAAAAAATTAGCCTTACTAAGCTGCATAGATAAGTATTGATTTCAATTGCAGGTCAACGGAGAGAAATTAGATCAATCACTCAGCGATCATGACTCATCTCTCTAAGCCTCTGAGTTTCATTTAAAACACACCGCGTGGGCGAAGAGAAAGCAAAGCTGAAGCCATCGGAGTAAGTTGAACTGAAGCTTGCATTAATTATGTTTTAATAAATCTAGCTCACAAAATTCTATTCCGGGAGCCATTAAGCGTGTAACCCCAACAAAGCAACTCTTAAAACGCCTTTTAATGGCAACCCTTTTTAACACCAAGTGTTTTCCAGTATTGAAGCCGAGAAGTACTTGAGAAAGTTCCCAGAAGGTTAATATACTTGAAGTATAATTGGTTTGCTCCCTTTGTCGTATCAGAGACAATGAAAGAAATATATTTTATGCTCTAAAAGGTTTCGGTTTGATCAGTCTCCAAGTTTCTGGCTTGAGACAACTGGAGAGTATCATTAATTTCCATGTGATACGTTATTTATAACCCTTTATGTTGAGTTACATTTGACGGCTGGAAAGGTATTTAAAAAGATGAGTGCGGATTGATAAACAACTCACGTGTAAAAGCCCAAAGGATATCATGAATTAGTTGTGTTTGTTTGTATTTTTTCCGGCGTGATGATATAAATGAAATTTCTGGCTTGACACAGCACCAAAAGACTAATTTTGTACCAGTGCTCTAGTCTAGATAAAATTGTTCATTAATTAGCTATAAATCACACTTAAATGAATAACATAATCAATATGTCGAAAATGTCATTTTTGTTTCAACGAAGAAGACATGAAGCCTTACATGTGTGCATCTTAATGCTGATGTCGTCCGGCTAAATGATTCATAAGCCGTCTTCTTTTGAATGTGCTCAAGACTCTTCCATGCTAACAAGCCGTGATTCTAGTCATTTAACTTGTTTGCCTCTCCTGAGTCTCTTTCCAAAAATCGTGAAAAGCTGAACTTACATATCTTAAGTCTCTGTTGTCGACTTGAGCCGTGAAAATATTCTTTTTTATTGAAAAGTATCGAGAACTTAGGCTGTTTTCAACTGTTTAGTAACAGCGAAGTTCTCTTCTGCAAACAACTATGAAAAAAGATGAAAAGAGAGATTTTCTGGCGTGACTACATCTCTTTTCTAGGATACAACTTTAACACGAACCAGTTACCCGCTAATGTAATATTTTCCGATGTTTGGAAAAGCACTAAATGCGCGTGTCAACTTTTTTGTCTCAAAAACTGTCAGAAGCAAATATTTCTCAACTCTGTGTAACTTCTGAGAAAATTTCCACTCGTGCCCAACGAAGATTTTGACCTGGTAAACCGATAAGATGCAATATTTGTTCTTTTCAAAAAATGCCTAATACGATGCAATTTTTCTTTCATCAAAAGAGGATCGATTTTTTCAGGATCTTGCTGGGGTAGTCATTTGAATTATCAGAATTTTCTCGTTACGTTATTCCTCGTGAGATTTGGATATTATCCCAAAAATTCAGCAGTGCTAATTAATCCTGAGGTAAAGATATGCACAGAATCTTCAAATTATCCAGTAAGCATAGTTCCTATAGGAGCAATTTGTCCTCATTCACTCTCGAGAGCGAAAGCTGAGTGTGATTAACTTTAGTTGATAGCTGCACCAGAAGAAACCGAGAATTTTAGTCATCAGCTTGAACTAACAGAGAGGAGAGAAAATGCCCTTGTCTAGGTATGATTTTTTCCATTTCTTTCTAAGAACTCAGTATGAAGTAAAACTTATGCTATCGATTGCATTGCGACATATATACATACTCCGTTTGAAATGAAGAATAAAGAAAGGTTAAGCACGAAATCTTTGTGCGCTCGTCACTCGACGTCCCCTTTTTGAATTTGCTTAGTGAGCGTAAAGCCTAAATCGTAAGTAGTTGGTGCAAAGCTTTTATTAGGAAAAAATGAATACAAAAACTTAAAATTTACGAATGCTTTTTGCGGCTGTTGAGAGAGAGAGTTAGAATCATTTAGTCGATGACCTTGAGCTTTGGAAGCATACACACATCAGAACTTTGAGACAAAGGCAAAATCCAAATTAAAGAAAAAACACGAAGTTAAAACTTATCGATCATATGCCTGGCAGCTTACTCGTCTATCACTCGTCCTCTCTCTTCGTTGACCGCCAACGACGAACACACGACACAAAGGCGGCGAGAAGGTGCACAAATTCACCGAGCCTAGCAATCGGATTGTTAGCGTGAACAGGGCCTAAACACTGCAGATCTTCAAAACTGTCAGATGCAGTATGAAGACTGTAGTGTCTGTCGTCTCTCGAGGCGTTCTTAATAGGGTTGAATACATTCAAGCAGTTCGACATTTGACCCAGATCTGAGCTAATAAGGCAAAGAAAAAATTATCTAGACATGGATACCTCAAACAGATGGTTATCTATGGTCTGCCTAAAATACATCCGATGCATGCTAAAGGACTTCTTTAGAATTGCATTTTTTTAGTGGAATTATTCGAGAGAATATATATTTTCTACAATCTCTTGAATTATCTTATGTCTTTAAATATTTTCAGCTCAAGTGTAGTAGATTTTTTATTCTTTTATAGCAACGTTTCTCAGCCCAAAATTTTGCGAATCTTTTTTAGAGATAAATTTCGATAGAATAACAAGAAGACGAAGGGATTTAAAAGTGCACAATCTCTCTGAACGTATGTGTTAAGCCTCGCTGGGAAACTATTAGCGCTGAATTTGCCGTCTTAAAGAAAAGTGATAATAGTTTTATAATGATAAAAAAATTAGGAAAAATTGATTTGGGGGATTATATCATAATTTTGCGCATTTAAGTCCCACGATTTTAGTGCTGCTTTTGTATTTTCGGACAGAATCTTCATTGACTTCTTCTTGATTTCCGGCGTAATTACGACTCACATTCTTCACATCAATGACAGTTTCAAATTGACAAGGACTTCAAACTTGCAGAAGTTACAGACATATGATATACCCTTATATTAAAAATTTCAACCTGCTACCGGACAAAACCGCACGGATTTTAAGCTTAAAACAAAATGAATGAAAACGATATTGTTATATAAAGTTCAGTGTCTAATAGCACGCGCCATGCATTTTGCTAGTTCTGCACCGCTTGGAATTTCATGCGAGCGCCACGCCAATTACTCTGCTGTTGAATGTAAGTCATTGTTTGACAGAAACGTACGTAATGAATGCAACCTCTAATAATTTCCTTTATTTAGGGAACAGGTGAAGTTATTTTATTCTCACTTGGAGGTCATTCTGCTAAGATTCTTTGCTCTGATAAAGCGCTTTTTTATTGGAAAAATGAGCCGGCGCCTTTTGACTAAGGCGCAGCAATTTTTCATCAACGTTATCTGACAAGGGAGCAGATGAAGATTAGAAGTTCATGAGAAAATAACAAAAATCCTAAAAAATTCTAATTAACTAAAATATTTGCTCCTCAGTGAGACGAAACATGTATGTTCAAGATAAAATTTTCAGTGATGAGTTATGATGTAGTATGACATTAACCCTTTCATTCCTTAGATCCCCCAGTA